ATGGAGACCTTCAAAAGCTACTTGGACGCAAGGCAAAATCTGCAGGACGTGCAACTTCCATCTTCCATGGGAAGGATCTTCAGGCAACCAGTGAAGAGGTTGTAGAGTGACCTTGTCCATGTACCAAGCCACAGCTGGTACCCCAAAGACCTGGACTTGCTGGTTCACCCCCCATTAAAGGCTCTGTGGCACCAAAGCCTGGTTTTCAGTTGCCCTGGAGCTATTTATTTCCCCCAGCATAATCATTCTGCTGTCCCTATTGCTAGTCCTCAGGACCTCAGTGCAGCCCATGACCACATGTACCCAAAGTGGGGACGGCTCATGTCCACATTTGCTGACAATGACGATTCATTTCTTACTCTAAATCCAGTCCTGCTGCATGGCTACTTTCAGCTGTACCTGCTCCCCCTGCTTTGTTTTCTACCATCTTTGCCTGGAGGACCATAACTTACCTCTGCCAACCAGGCACGTCTTGGAGAGTGTATTACTAATTAATTATCAGTTTCAACAACCCCTCTCCTTGGCAATGTCATTGGTTTGGCGTGCACTGATGAAACTGTGCTTTGAAAAACCAAAATCGCCTTCTCCAGAGATTTGTGTTGTGCAACACCATTTATTAAAAGAAAGCAGTGACAGCAGCTGATAAAAAAACCTTGCTATGCTGTGACACAACAGCAGGAGGCATGTTTTCAAAAGAGCTTATCCCTTATCATGTTTCACGTCTACAGCAAGATTCCCACCAGAGCTCCTCTGGATGACAAGCTGTGTTTGAAAAACCGGGTATTTCTTCTGGACACTAAGTGATAACTGAGTTTGTTGGAAAATACAGCCTTGAATGGGTGCAGGGCCAGCCTGGAAAGGCTGAGCACTTGGGTACGTGCAGATACAATGGGCGTGGAGGATGTGCGAGTGCACTGACTGGGTTTGATTAGCCAGGTAAGCCCCATTTCTTCAAAAAAACCAACCCAACCCCAAAGCCATCCCTGTGCATCCTCACAAACCTGTTCCAGCTCCATTACCTGAAGGTAGAGACGGTGCTGCTGAAACTGTTGCTGTGGCCAACTGTTGCTGTGGCCACTGGTGGAGATGAACCGGTGTGTTTGCCTGGTGGGATGTGAAGCTGGTGTGTGGGATCATCAGAGATGGGGAGAAAACGGGCGACGGGGCTGGAGGTCGGACGGTGCTACAGGTAATCGGTTGCATCTGTATTGGGGGAGGCAAGATCTGCTGCTCTGCAACGAATCTGCCACGAGGAGGAAAATAAGGTGTGAGAACCCAAACCCAGACCCACAACCGGAGCAGGCCCTGGGGAGCCCAAGTCCTGCAGGGAACCAGACTGGAGCAGGGTTTGTCAAACCGTGCAGGGCTTGGCAAAAGCAGGCCCCAGATTTCCCCCTCCCCATCAAGCATGGACTGGAACTGCAGACAATTAAGGTTTTTAAGGCTGTACATCTCCTCCATGACTTGATTAGGCATTTTAAGCTTTGCAAAAGCCAGGAAATGGTTAAAAAAAATATTTTTTTCAAAGCATTTTAGTTATCATAAAGTTCTTTGTAGTTAAAAAATATTCTCATTACTTTTTCTTCTAACCAGCTAACCTTTTGTTTCTTTTAAGACTGAGACTGTTTGTGTTTGTGTGATCACTTACAAGTTTTTCAAAGTAATTTTCAGCACCATAAAGAGCCATGTTAGAACACTGCATGAAAAAAAGGGTCAGCAAAGACTCACTTTCCTTGCTGCCTGCTGGCACCGCTCTGCGTAGACTGGCCACTGCCATTGGCGGCGGGCATCATGGCTTGGATAGACTGATCCAACAGCATCCTGCAGCAGAGGGAAAACAGATGATGGTCAGGGAAGGGAGAGGTCCAAACTCCTGACTGTCAGTCTCTAGAAACAACTCCCTGAAAATCCTCCCTGAAAGCATGCAAACCACCACCCTGATAAAAGCTAATGAAATAGGATGCTTACTATCACCTTGCCTAATGCACTCACAGAGGTGAGCTGAAACTTGCTGAATCTTTCATGTAAGAAATATGTTTTACAGATGGTGAGACCTCTAGGGTTTATCTTTTTTCCTTACACAGTATTTCAAAAGGGCTGGATCCTGGAGGCAGTGTCTGCAGATACCTCCCTGAAAGGTGGCTGAATAGTTTGGGGCAGTTGTATATGTTTTATACAACATTTCTAGCACTGTATAAAAGAAAAATGGCTTTGCCATGGTGCTTGTCCTGGCTGGAGAAAAGACACTCTGGAGCTTCAGATCAAGCAGACACAGGTTTGGGAAAGGCTGTCCGTGCTAGTTTTGCCTGTTCAGCCCCTCTGACAGCAGCAGATGTCCAAAGGTTACTGAGCAATATGGATAATTTATAGAAATATGGAGAGAAAAGGATTTCAGGCCCTTGAGGGTACAGCATGGTGTGCGCAACACCCTACTTGCATGCACACCGGGCTCACCACTAACCCAGATCTCTGCAGGAGGGAACACCCCTCCGCCGCTGCCGTGGCACCCAGAGACGGTCACCCCCCGAGTCCAGATGCGCCTGCCCTCCCCGCCACCCAGGTATTGCTATTTTCTGTCACCGCCATCAGGACCATCCCAGCAGTGCTTGTGTTTGTACCTGAGGCTCCTGTCCTGGCTGTATTCAGATTGTGGTTGCCTTTCGCTGCCGTCAGCCGGCATCTGTGCAGCCACTGTAATGGGATGTGTTTGCGAAAACACCATGGGATTGTTGTAGAGGGGCACTGAAATGCTCGTCTGCCCCGGCAGACACGGTTGCTGGGCTTGGTTTCCTCTCATTAGGTGCTGCTGCTGCTGCTGTACCTGAAATGAAGACATAGATACCCACGTAAGTTTTTAAAGCTCCCCAGTAGAAGGCTAAAGCAACTGCTTCCAGTATGCAGATGGGAAAAGAAGGAGGAACAGTAGGATATTCTCCCTGAACACAGCAGCAGGAACGGTATATCTATTATTCAGGACAACCAACCCGTCTGCATTTATTGCCCCTGCATGGCAGTGCTGGGATCCCCAGTGGTAGGAGCAGAGGGTCTCTTGAGAACTCAGAGTACAAGGGTAAGGGCACACAAGGCTCGAGAGAGAAGAGACCAGCTTAAGAGGGGAGGAGGAGTGCAAATCTGAAGTCCTCAAGGAAAGCGTCTCATCCATCCTTTAAAGCAGTAGTTTTGGTCTTTTTTGCTTTTGGACACCTCAATTCTTTCCCAAAGAGATGTGACCAGCTAGATAGTGGATTTAGGTCTAGTGATGACAAACTTGTTTTTCAAAGCTGCCTTCCAAGACTTCTCAGGCAGAAGAAAATTAATCTCTTAAAATTATGTCTACTTCCCCATGTTACAAAGTCACAACTCTCACTGGCTATGAATGAACATCATGTTGCAATCCCACAGAGAAGCGAATGAGAGCCCAGACCTCCCACTCAGTTCCTCTCTGGTCACCAGGACGGCTCCAGCGGTCCCCAGGGTTTAGTGCTTTTAGGCTACCTGGCTTTTATTTTCACAGCTGAATGACATCATTTGCAACTGACTCTTGACACAAATTTCGTAATGCCAGCTAGGGAGTAAAACCAGCACAGAGAAGATGCGCGAGACCACGGGGAGGGGGGACACAGCAGACAAGTATTTAAAAAAGCCAGGAAAGGGGACAATGAAGATGATGAAGCAGCCAGCGACCTGGGTGGCCGTGCCACAGGGGTCCCTGAGGAATTGGCGCGGTGACGGCAGGCGGGTGCCGCAGTAGTGCTTCATCCCCATAAGGCCTTGCTGCTGCGACTTCTTGGCTGTGGTCTGCCTGGACGTCCCCGGTGGCGGCGGCCTACTGGGGTTCGGGTGCTGCACGTTGTTAAAGACAACGGGGATCGGCTGCTGCATCAGCATCTTTAAATAAAAGAGACACATGAGTTGTCGCAGCTCATACGGTGGTTACCCTGTCTGAGAGTTACTGTCTCCCGCTCCCAGGCTGTCTCTATCAACATATAACACTGCAGCAGCAACGTCTCTAAATCCAGGGGCAAAGTGAACTGTGAATAACAGAAAATCAAATGTTAGCTTGTGCCCAAGTATTTATTCAGAGCCACGACCATTCCAGCTCCATTACACCTGTTGCATTTTGCAGGAACAGCACTGGGGATCCAGCAGCACTAACCAGCCACTGACCCACCAAGCTTTTTGTGCAGGGGGGACTTGGGGTTAGCTTGGGACTGTTTTCTTCTAAATCATGAAAATTACTGATTCAGTACTTAAGCAGATACTGATGCCACTCATCTCTTGGGAGACACTACTCCTGCATCTGGGACCAAACTACCAATTTACCCAGAGCTCATTTTTAAATGCTCTTGCCACTGACAATTTTGTTACTGATCTGCGTGCTCAAAAGAAGAGCAAATGGTTTCTGGGTTTGGGAACCCTGGGGGCAGCGAGTACCTGCAGGTTGGAGTCCTGCACTAGCTGGAGCTGCTCCTTGATGACATGGAGCTCTTCTTGCTGTGTCTTAATGTCAGCTTGCAGTATGCGTGTCCTCGCCTCCAGCTGCTCTTTCAGCTGGTGCATCATCCCCAGCTGGGTCGGGAAATGGTACACTGGCTGCGGAAAGCAGAGAACAAGATCACATGGTAGGACCAGTCCTGCTACTCACATTCATAGTGATGCTGGCTTCAGAAAAACGACTGCTTTTCAGGTTTTGCCATAGAAATATGATGCCGACAAAAAAATGGCAATTGCATATTTAACCAAAGTACCACTGTACTTCCAGAGCAGCAGCACAACTGGCTCATATTCAGTGCCTCACTCCAGATCTTGGTCTGTTAAATTTCTGCGCAGATGTAGTGTCTGTGCACGGGACTCCCCTGTCCCTTTAGTGTGACACCCTGCTGATTTCGGACCACTTGTGCTTTGTGGCAGACACTGCATGCTAACCCTTGCCACACCTCCAGGCTGGGCTTTCAGTTGTGCAGCTGATTATATTTGCCAAATGCCAGGCCCCAATTAGGTTGTAATCCCACCCTGGAACCCATCCTTCACACCTACGCTGGCTGTCTTCAATCCCTGTATTGTAGTCTGAATGTTTACTACACTGACCTCAAAGCTCTCTGAGGATGGGCCTCATAGCTGCGGTTTATGACTCCCACATTTTTCTTGTGGTATTTTTTTCTTTTTCTGGCCTAACGCAAACCTTCCTTGACATCCCCTTCCTCTACCAGGCAATAAAACTCTTCAGCACCATATCAAATGGGCTTAAGCTGCGCCAGGGGAGGTTTAGGTTGGAAATTAGGAAAAATTCCTTTACGGAAAGGGTGGTCAAGAATTGGAACAGGCTGCCCAGAGAGGTGGTGGAGTCCCCATCCCTGGAAGTGTTCAAAAAACGGGTAGATGTGGCACTTCGGGACATGGTTTAGTCTAGTCTACCCTTGATTGGCTTAGAGTAGACTTGGTAGTGTAGGTTAATGGTTGGACTGGATGATCTTAAAGGTCTTTTCCAACCTAAACGATTCTATGATTGATTCTATGATCAGCCTGCAGCTAGTTGCTAGCAATTCAGAGATAAGCCTTGAGCAGCCCCCAATGGTTTTGACAAGCGTAAACCTTCTTCTAAGCTATTTTCTTGGGTCTCCTACCTGCTCTGTCTCCTCGCTGAAGTAAGTGGTTGCAATAATTTGGTTGCAGGTAAATCTCCGTAACAGCAACAGAAAGGGCACTGAAACCTTGCCCCCACACTGGGACCAGCCAGCAAGGAGGTAAGAGCAGTGAACCGAAGCCACCAAGTCTGCCCTGCTAACTGGCCATACCAGTGCATTTAACAAAAACAGACCACGTACCATCACAGCGTGCTGAGAGGGGACTGCCGGCTGAGCCACGGGATGCTGAGGGAGGTGTTCACCAGGGGCTTGAGGAGTTGCTATGGCCTAGAAATGAAAACTTTGCCTTACTGCAGGTCCATAGCATCTCTAGTGCAGAGTTGGTGCAATACCAGCTCATACCCACTGGTACGAACAAGTGCAGGGAACGACACCACTCCACGTGGAGATCTGAGGATAAGCCAGAAGGGAGAATTTAACCTCCTGCATGCCCCCTGCTAATTGCAAATCCTTGGTGTCAGCATCCATTTTTGGATAAAGGCCATTTCACGTGTACAAACCCCAAGAAAAGCGGGCTCGGGGTGTGAGAAGGCCTTTGGCCTGAAGGAGCAAACTGAACCCCGAAAGAAGGCAGCAGAGGAGCCTCCAGCAGCTCTCCACCGGCTCTGCTGGGCAGCGGCGTTCCCCACAGCCCTGGGAAATCCCATGCTCAGGCCCAGCACGCTCAGAGGCGAGGATCCAGCCTCTCTGAGGGCGAGATCAAGGTTTGTCCAGCTCATTTCTTTATGACATGAGAAAGGCTTTTGCTTGCAGGAACCACCGACCTGAGTGCTTCCAGCCGATGCCAGCCGTAGGGCTGCCTTCTCTGCCTGCCCCACCGGCACCGACGGCCGGGTGGGCGTGCCGGCGTCCGTGTGTCGCGTGGATGATGTGGCTGGAAAAGAGACGGTTTACTGTGATACGGCAGACCTGTGCCTGGGTACCCCAGCTAAGCCTGAACTCTGTGTATGCAGGCGAGCAGCGACCCAAACGCTGCCAAACCGGGTCCCCAAACTGCCCCTCCATGGTCCCTCTGGCCCTCCACCTGATTCGCGGGGTTCCCTTCTGATGCTAACGCCCCGTTTCAGCCTTTCCCCCATGGGTGTCTCCAGATGAGCCCTCCCACTCTGCCCCTGGCAAGTATTTCAAGAAAAGCCCCCTGCGTGGGCTCCTACCCACGGCCCCGCATGGGCACTGCGGTCACCTCGCTACGGCCCCCAGGGTCAGGGGGCACTCGTGGGAGCTGGCATGAAGCTGCCAGCAAGGCAGGCAGCCTTCCGCATTCCTTCTGCAGGGGTTTATCATCAGGGACCAAACTACCCCGTAATAAAAGTTCTGTCAGTGAGGTTTGGGGCTCCATCAAATTGCTTCAGCTTAGCAAGTCACCTCCCGTCCCCTGAGCCACAGTGAACAGCCACAACCCTTAGGTGGTAGTAAACAGGGGGAAAGCTGCTCTCACCTTGGCAGTGGGCTAAGAGGGAGGAGGCAGCACGTGGCCACGGCTCTGCTGCCATGCCATAACGAGTTACGGCACGGTACGTTGGTCCCAGTGCTGAGCACCCCCCTCCTGCCCTGACTCGGTCACTCCCAGGCAAACCCCAGTATTTCGGAGGCTGCTCTGCCCTCCAGCCCACTCCTCGCCCCCACCCTGGGCTGCCCAGGCCCTGCTGGCACCTACATGCGGAGTCGGAGAGGGCGGTGTGCGAGGAGCGCCGGGAGCTGTGGGACGACTGCGACACTCCCTCCCGGCTGGCGTCCTGGCTGCTGCCGCACTGCCCCACGTCCAGGTAGCTGCTGTGGCTCTGCAGGGAGCGAAGCACAAGTGACGAGACCGTCAGCAGGAGAAGATGGTGCTAGAGGGGACCTCCACCTCCCTGGCTGCTCGTTGGCAGAGAAAAATAACAGGCTGGGTATGTAGAGGGCCAGCACTGCAGCACCGCACCACCAAACCCCGGTGTAGTATTCCGTCAGCCCCTCAGCGTTCACCCTAAAGCCTTCAGGTATCCCCGTGCAGACAGGACCCTCAGGATCACACCCCAGGCACCCCTGGCTCTGGGGCGATGCCACGCATTTCTGTCCTGGGACACCCATCTGATGGCAGCAAGCGGCGGTGGAGGGGATGGACCGTGCGTCGGGTGAACACTGGGGATTGCTGCCCGTGCCCCGCGCTCTGCCACCCTCCTGCTCTCCTGCCTGTGGAGCTGTGTGCAAATGGAAACATGCTTTTATAATTAGCTTCCTTCTGCCGATTTCTTCAGGGATGTCACAGTTCATTGGCCGTGGCACACTGTGGAGTGGTGGCAGAGGTAACGAATGAAGGCAGCAGGAGGGGCTGGCTGGGGAACGGTTTTATTCATTGCAGAGATGGAGGGGGATGACTGGGAAGGGACACGGAGCACTGGTGCGGGGGCATCAGCTGCAGCCCTAGGAGAATCTACAGTAAATGGCTCCTGTGGGGACAGGTACTGGGCGATGCCGAGAGCTGCAACCCTGCTCGCCATCCCCTGGGGAGCAGTCGCTCCCAGCAGGCTGTTCTAGGCAGGAACCTGGCAGCGCATCTGCAGAGGGGGATGGCTTAAGCTAGTGAATATTAACGGCTTTGGAGCTGTCGCACCAAAACGACAGATGCCACCGGGCAGACGGTTTATGGCAAACAGCCCAGAACTGTGGGGTAGTAGGAGCCTGTTCACCTGCAGGACATGGGTGACCACGCTGGCTGTGCCACCACCCTCCCCATGCCTCCCAGGTTGCTCCCCAGCTTCTCACTCCCCTCCAGAAGATCAAGCAATGGGAGCGATTGCTCTGCCTCTCCTCCAGCTGCCTTACATCAACAGATGCAGCTTAAGGTCTGCAGAAAAATATCTCAGCTATCACGTGGAAAGGGGAAAAAGACACAGAAGTGTGCTGTGGTGACAGAGAAGCAGCTGTTTGCAAGATGGTCCTTGCTCAAGTGCAAAATGTCTATGGGACAGCTTCCCCTATACATCCCATAAAAGGCTTCTATAAAATAATGTCTGAAGAGCAATAAGGCTACTGGAATGATAATTACACAACAGTCCACTTGAAATTACTTTGATTACTGGTCTTATCTGTAAACTACTGAGAGGAAGAACTTAAAAGTAATTAAAATGAACTTGTTAATTGGGCAGATGTGTTGGGATGCCAGACTGATTCAAGCCATGGAAATTATTGCTCTGGTCACAATCCTACACTTGATGTGACCCTGCTCAATGGTGTAAACAGAGCTGCAATCTGGAATAAGTCTTTTCCCTTCACTTCCAATCTTCGTCTGAGTATCAGTGGCGAGCTGGCATTAACAAAACAGGCACCATGCGGTACTGCCCTGCGCTAGGATCCTCTGCGCCTTACTAACGGTGACAGGTACAGCAATCTAGCCTCCAGCTCTACTTTCTGCTTCTGAACTGAGGTGGTTTAACCTATCGTTTGCGTAATGGTCTCAGAAAGATAATCAATAGCAGAGCAGCAGCAATGCAACTGCTGAATTTGCAGTTATATGCCTGAACCGAGATGGGCAGTTTGGAGCCATGCAGTGGAAAACTTCTCAGGGTTTGCCTGAGTCATAACCCAGCTGAAGGCTTGGAAGGAGATGGGAGTAAAGGAGAAGGAGATGGGGGTAAAGGAGAAGGAGAAGAAAGAACAGGTATCTTCCTGAGATTGGTCAGCAATTACTCAGTTTGAACACCTACTCATTCAACTGTGAAGGGACATGGTACCTTTAGAGAAGAGGATGCCAATTCAATTGATGACTCTTCAAGGCCAAGATCTCGCCTTCTTTCAGCTCGAACTTCTGCATAACTGAAAAAAGAAAAAAAAAAATTCAATCCAGTTTTTCAGTCTGGATATTGTTTACTGTATGGTTACTATATCCTACCATACAGTTCACTATGGAGTTTTCATGTTGAGTCACACGCTTTGCACAGCGCACACACACACTCTCTCATATACAAGGTACTTTGAGGAACATCATCGTACAGCCTTGCAATCTGTGAATAACTGCACATGCTGAATATCTACAGATTAGAGACACAAGGGCAGTGTCCCAGTCCCACTCCACCCAGGACAGCAGGACCTATATTAATTGCACTAATCATTCCAAGCACAAACGTATACAATCCTTGGCAGATTTTGGTCCTGGATGCCTTCAAGCAAAACTAATCTAGAAGCAAAGTGGACTTGGTTACTGAAGACAAAATGGGTGTCTTTGTCCTCAGTACAATTTTCCTAATGAAGGAGATTCCCATTTTCCATAATCAGGCAGAAGAATGATCCTACAGCTTCTGTGCAGGTAAACTGCCATAGCAAATGTACATTCATTTTCTAACCTGCTGATGATCAAGAATCAATTTTTTGCACGTTGCATGGTAGTTCAGCGAGACCTAAGCCGGTGCCTTGGAGAGGAGGAGGTCAGGTCCCCTCTCTCTGAGGGTGCACACAGCACCGTGCAGCGTGCTACGTCAGAGTTACCATCCCTCACTCCAGTGGAAGCTCTGAATACCAACCGACGGCTGCCCAGGTGCAATGCGAGGCGCAGGAATCCCCAGCAATGTGCCTCTAAAGGTGTATATTTGCTTTCCTTACTATTTTTCTCTTAAATAATAAAATATTTACAGTAAACTATGCCACATTGTCGTGGTTTAGCCCCAGCCAGCAACTAAGCA